TATATATGTAGATATATATTATATATATTATATATTTATATTATATAAGTACGAATATGTGCATAGATCAACGAGAGAAGCAAACATAAACACAGCACACAAACAGAAACAAACAAACAAACAAACAAATTAAATAGATTAAATTAAACAAATTAAACTAAGTAAAAATAAATTAAATTAAGCGAATTAAACTAAATAGACAAATTAAATAAAATTAAAGTCAACAGGTAAATGAAACAAATTAAGCCAAACACAATAAAACTCAATAAAATTAAATCAATTAAATTAAATTAAATAAATTAATTAAATTAATTAAACAAATTAAATAAATTAAATTAAATTAAACAAATTAAATAAATTAAATTAAATTAAATATATTACGTACCAGCAGACAGACTCAGAACAGGGGGGCGTAGTTAAAGAACCCGAGTAAGAAATTAATAAACAGTCAGACGGCAGCAACTCTTTTAAATTTATAAACCCTTGCTGCTGCTGCTGCTGTTGCTGCTGCTGGTCAGCTGTTGCTGCTAGTTCAGCGAGAGCTTGCTTTACTTCAGGAGACAACGCCTGCTGCTGCTGCTGCTGCTGCAGTGCTGCAGCAAGTGCATACTCGCATTGCAGCAAAAAGCTATTATCTTTTTCTCCTTCTTTAGCATCAAAGAATATACCCAGCACTAAATTGTCATCCGGCTGCTGCTGCTGCTGCTGCTGCTGCTGCTGCTGCTGCTGTATACGGTGGCAGACGATATGCAGCTCGAGGCCTTTGCGGCCGTGGAGTGTATGCTCAGCTGGGCTATGAAAATGAAACTGCTCTACTTCATATATTTCGCTGCCGTTGCTGCAGCTGCTGCTGCTGCTGCTGCTGCTGCTGCTGCTGCACGTCAGCAGCCGCCCGAAGGCTCCTGTTTCTTTTGGTTTGATCTGCAGTTTTTTGCCTTCGATAAATACAACTGATGCTGCAGCAGGTGCAACAGCAGCAGCAGCAGCAAGCTCGTTTTGAAGGCCTCGTTCTGCTGCAGATATTATCTTCATTTCATTTCCTGTTGCAGTTACTGCTGCTGCTGCTTTGTCTCCTGCCCTCCACTGCTGCAGCAGCTGCTGCAGCACAGCAGCATCAATTTCTACAGGACTCTGCCGCAGACAAGACAAACCCTTATCTAAGAAGGGGCCCCAGTCTGCTCCTTGCTGCTTATAGTTCCAATCTGCTGCTGCTCCTGTTGCTGCTGCTGCTGCTGCTGCTGCTGCTGCTGCCGGCATTGCTGCTTCTGCTGTCCCGCAACCTGCGTGCGATCCACTCGATTTAGACGCCTTCTGCTTCTCTTGCTGCTCTTTCTGCTGCTGCTCCTGCTGCTGCTGCTGCTTGTCTTGAGTCTGCTGCTTGCAACGAGTCCAAGGAAAGAAGAAGCTGAAGCAGCTTCTTTTTTGTTGTTTGTCTTGTGCTGTCGTCATTTCTTCTGCTGCAACTCCTGCAAACAAAACACTGCTGCTGCTGCTGCTGCTGCTGTTGCTCTTGCTGCTGTTGCTGCTTCTGTTGTAAGGGTTGTGCTGCGCTGCAGCTGCTAGTGCTTGGGTATTATTAAATAGAAGGGGTTGAGACCCTAGAATAAATGCATTAACAGGTTCAGTTGGAATAAAAACGAAGAAAAAGAGGTGTATATACACCGCAAAGAGCAGCAGCAGCAGCAGCTGATGCTGCTGCTGCTGCTGCTGTTGCTGCCGTACCATTGTGTGTGTGTGTGTGTGTTGTTGAAGCTATTTGAGGCAGCTAGCTGTTGATGTCTCTGTTTGTCTGTGTTTCTTCACAAAGTTTTTGTTTAAAAGTATAAACAAATTTATTTAATTTGTTTATTTTAGCCAAAATTCAACTTCAAACGAAGAAGACAAACCACGAACTGCTGCTACCTTACCGTACGAAAGAAGAAATGCAGAAAGAAGTAGAAAATAAAGGCGCCAAGTTTAATTTAGAGTGTAAATTAGAATTAAAAAGAAAAATAATATTAAATTTCATGCAAAAATATACAAATATATGCAGAAATAAACTCAAAATAAAAACCTCCTCCTTATGGTAGCCTGTGCTGTACGTACACCGCAGCACAGAGCGCACGACTGCAGTGCATGCGGCAACAAATTAATAAAAAAAGAACATTTAAATATATATTTTTTGTCATTTTAACCATTAAAATAATATTTAAATTTAATTTACAACGTTCATTTCCTAATATTTATTTATTTCATGCGAAACAATGCCTTCAGACTCCTAGCAACCACACCACAACCCGTCAACGCTTAATATTAATAGCAGCAGCATTATGAAAAAAAACAAATTAATTAATTTATTTATTCTTTATTTTGTTTTATGTATTTACTTATTTCATTTATTTACTTATTTAAAGTAAGTTTGTGCGGAAAAAATGAAGAAAATAATACCGAGCGTTGTTTGCTACAAAGAGCTCCACAGACAAACCCTAAACCCTAAACCCTAAACCCTAATCTCTAAACCTTAAACCCTAAACCCTAAACCCTGAGCAATAGTACATGATGTCAGTACTTTTAATTATTTATGTTTTAATGCTCTCCGCTATCGATGTTCTCTTGAAAATAAATGAAGACTTCTAAGCACAGTTAATTAATTAATTAATTTTTTTGTATTTGCATTTCAAATAAAGCAAAGCGTCAAGAAAAATAAACACATTTTTGTATTTGTTTCCTTTTCGCGGAGTTGTTCATATATATATAATTTACATATATAATTTATATATACAATTTATATATATATAATATATATATACATATATA